ACAAGCCTCAACGGCTGGTGATTCCCCATAACACAGAAGTGACTCCGCGACTCAGAACATTACATCCCAGCATTATTTTACCATTTATGATCATCATTATTACTCCACGTCACTTGCAGACAAGCCTCAACGGCTGCTGATTCCCCCATGTTACTGAATAGATCTCCCATCACCCACTAATCGACACGTATCGAGCAGAAGATGACTCAGCCTCCAGCTCACCCCTCGCTATCACCATAAACTGTATTCCCACTAGATGCCGACTCGACCTTGGGCATCCTCTATAAATACATATGCTATTCATCATGAAGAAAGGTTGGATTCTCCTTACTACTTAAAACTCTCTAGACACATTTCTAGGAGGACACCGTTCTTCCTTCACCTCACCTAAGTCCACCAGCTGACTTGACCGTCGGAGATACCACGGGGAAAACAAGCCCCATACTCCCATGATTCATGTGTGTGTAGGTATTTCGTCCACCCCGAGCTCTGAGAACCAGGCATAAAGTCGAAGAAGGAAAGCGGCCCCCTCTCGACAATTCAATCCCTCGACAATCCAACAACTCTACGATTTCAATTGACTGTGATATCAGACATCAACACAAATCAAGAGCAATCATTTTGTATCAATCATTCTTAATTATAGGATTAAGCCTAGACTCAACTAGAGTAGCTACTAACAAAGAACTTCTTTAGTAAAAAGATTAAAGTTTACTCGGTCAGTTAGCCAGGTATTGATAGTACTAGAGGGAAGTCGATGACCAATTAAATATCTCATTCCTTCGGAGTGCTTTACACAACCCCTAAACCTTACCTTAGATACCAACGGGTTTAAGTAAACTCAAACCAATTCACTTAAGGATTTATTGTTTCTTAATAAGCTCAAGTTCCTTAGGAGCTAACGTCTAATGAGTTTTAAAATGTTTGGGTTTGTATAGTGAGGAATTAGTGATTTGTGGGGGTAAAGATACTAAAAAGAGGAGTTACCATAAGCAAATCTTCAATCTTTAATTCTTAATCTTCAATCTTTAAAGTGGTTCCTTTACGAGAAAACACACAAATTAAAGAACCAAAATAGAAAAGTCCTACTTATAAGCATCGTTCCCTGGCCACAACACTAAAAACTTGATACAAGGTAAATAATAACCAAAATTGCAAGCACACAACTACCAAATTATAGTATAGAAAAATGTCGATATTACGAGGAAGGTGTTATAGGAGATAATCAAAATTAGTTCTTAAGTTATGTGCGTGATAATTAGGAATGATAGAAGAGGTGTGGAGAGATAAAGTACGGTAAGTACTTTACAATATCTTACAATGATAAGGCAAGATATGGTTTTTTATTGTTCATGTTTTTTATCAAATTTATGCTTGCCCCTCGCACTATTCACTTACATGCTATCAAGAGCATATACAGGTATTTGCAGGGCACCCAGGATCATGGTTTATTTCTTCAAAAATCAAAGGGTCCTTCTCTTGTTGTCGATGCTGACTGGGTCGATTGTCCTGATAGCTCCAGATCTACATTAGGCTATTCGATCTTTTTGCCCGAATATTATTTCCTAGAGATCTAAGAAGCAACCAATTGTTTACAAGTCCTCTACTGAAGCCAAACATAGAGTAGTAGTATATATTGTTGCTGAAACTATGTGGATTCCCTATCTGCTATCGAAATTTGAAATTGTTCTTCAACAACAAATAAAGCTCCTATTTGATAATGTCGGTGCCACCTCCATCACAACTAATTTTATCCTTCATTATCAAAGCAAACATATCAAGGTTGATTATTATATTGTTCGGGAGAGAGTTGTTCACGATGATCTAGTTATTCGCTACGTTCTTATCTAGTTATTCACTATGTTCTTATTATCTTCAACTCGCGGATATTTTTATAAAAGGATTGTCAACTCAACTATTTTTGTTATTAAAATACAATCTGTCCATTCAGCCTCTCGATCAGATTAAAGGGGTGGATGCGAATAAAATATGTAAAGTTACAAGTGCATAATAATTAAGTTATATTATTTATAGATATCAATCAATGAAGAATGAGAGTATTAGAAAGACTAATTTAAATGGATTCTTGAAATAGGTAGGAACAAAGATTGAGAATGGTAAATAAAAATAGTATGTTTTGGAGGGAGGTTTGTCAAAAGATTAAAAGGCTAAAACAAGCGCGAAGAATGAAAGAAAGAGAAGTACAAAATAAAAGCAAATAAAAAATAAAATCATATCAAAACAAAAAGTGAATGAAAACATGAAGGAAATCAAGAGAAGAGAATAGAAATCTAGGATTGAATCCACTAGTTAATTTAATAGAAATCTAGGATTGAATCCACTAGTTAATTTCAAACTGTACTTAAAGAATTACTCTCTTTTTATTCACATATTTATTAGATTTCCTAAGCATAGACTATCAAGTTATTTAAAACAAGCATAACCTATCAAAATCATATTTAAGAAATATTATCACTCTTGAATAAAATTGAATAAGTATAACCTATTAAACCACAATAGGAAAACATAGACTATCAAACTCTTTTTCTACTAATTAGTTTTCTAGTTGATTATCGTAATATGATCAATTTAAGCACAAAGAGAGCAATTTAAAAATACAAAAGGAAATTAAACCAGTTTCATCAAATCCTAGATGTTCTATAAGAATTAGCTACTCATATTACATAATAAAAATAAAGAAAGAAAATCTATAATTTAAAAAATAAGAAATTAAAATTAAACTACAACGCAAATAAAGAAAGAAATAAAATTTACTCTACAAGGCATAAAAAGGAATAAAAATAAAATATATACTATAAAGTAATAAACGGGCAAGAAAATGAATTTATACTGTAAAAAATAAAATAAATTTACACTACAAAGCAATAAATCTAACCTACGATTCATAACATTAAAAAAATAAAATCCTAAAATATACAATTCTAAAATAAGAAAATAAAAAGGGAAAATAAATACTTACATTACAAGCGGTTAGTCTCCTTGTGAAGCAAATCTTCATCACCAAAGTAGAAGAAGAAGAAAGAAAATAGAAAAATAGAAATTATTTATTATTGCAAATAAAAATTTACAAGTCGGAAGTTTTTCTCAATTAGGAGTAACTCTCCTCTTTAAAATAGAGTTTATAAAATTTTACACCTCCAAATTCTCACTCTCTACCCATATTTAGAGCATAAAGTAACTAAATTTAGCCATTAGATCAAGCTTGGGATCTAAGAAATCAAAATTAATCATTAAATCATTTTTGTTACAAACTTATCGACTAGCTACTGTAGCTAGTCGATTAGCTATAGTAGCTAGTTTACGCTTCTGCCACTGCTTCACTAAAATGACTATGTATAGGGGTCAACTACCGATCCCTACATTCAACCTCCACATCTCTTTGTTTCTTTCTCTCTCACTTTCTCCACTATAATTCTCAACAATGGATGAATATGTCTAGAAATGTTATCCAATTATTCAAAGTTTCAAACTTTTAAAGGTCTCGACCAAATCATGAGTACTCAAGATAGACTGTGGATGAAATTCTAACTCAATTCTTCAGTTGGATATGGACGGAGCCAATGTAATTCTTTGATATTTACCCATTCTTAGAAATAAAATGCAATATTGCCTTTTTTTAATCCAAAGTTATCCCTGGCTGCACTTAGTAGAACCACAAGTCTGTTTAATAGTCATTCTCGAACTAAATATTTTATTTTTTTAATCAGATTAATAAAAGTTTTTCGCGATAATATTTATCCTCTATATCTAATGTAAGAACTCATATCTTTCCTTGCTGATTGATTTTCTTCCGTTCTTTAACATCAACAATATTCATCATCACTTTCGCCACATTATTGCATCTATCATTGTATAACCAAGAAAGTGTAAATAACCACACTTATTTATGATTTTAAAATATGGCAACAAACATTTTAATCTTATTCAGGATGATCACATTGGGTATTTAGGCTTTATGCATGAAATACTATGAGCATAAACCCCAAAATTTTATTTGATTTTCTTCATGAATTAATCAACACAATGTTTTTAACCGGCAGCTATCTTAGAATTCAAATATCAAATATGGTTGTAAATCTCTTTTATTAAAGTATCCATGCAACAAAAAAAGAGGAAGAAAGTGAGTAAGAATCCTTTTAGAACGTTTTGCAACGTGTGGGGCATTCTGAACCATGCATTATGCTAAACAAGGGGTCAGTAATGATATCCCCATAGAAACTTATGAGAATCTAGGGACCTAGTGGCATATTCAATGAATTAAGGGACTAATTTTGAGGCGGCTAAGGCTTAGTTCGTAGGAGTAGAGGTAGAGTAAGTGGAGGGATAAAATTAAAAATCTTATTTGGTAGGGAGTTTTTTGAGAGTAATACGAAGTAGAGTAAAGTAACGAAAGAGAAGATGCATAATGAACTAGAAAAGTGAAGAAAGAAAATTCATTCAAGTGCAAGAATAGAGAATATGTAAAATAAACTAAAAATCCATGTACCTCTCTTTACTCCCCCTCCCGGACTAAATAAAAACCATAAAAGATATATATATATCCCTCCTTAAGCTTCATTGAGCATTACTTGCATTACCTTCCCTCCTCGTGCATCCGAACAATCCGAGCCAAGAAAGGCGGGGACTGCGGCGCCTTCGAGCTTATCCAGCCCGGTGGTCCCCACCCCAAAGAAGCCGACCCATGTGCGCTGGCCCCGGCCCCAGTCGGCCCTTTCGATCCAACGGCCACAATCATCTCAAACCCGTCCAATCAAACAGGTAAAATTCCTCCACGTAAGCCCAGCACCCTTGCGCATCTGGGGTGAAATCGAGCGGGGCGCGGAACATCCGGGATCAAGCTGTCCTGAAGCTGTCGCCGTCTCTCTCTCTCTCTCTAAAATCTGCCTCACTTTCTCTCTCCTCACACTCACTGTTGATTTTCTCTCTCCTCTCTCTTCAATGGCGGTGCTGTCGAATAG